AAAAAAAAAAAAAAAAAACTTACAATAGAAAATATAAAGTTTTAGCAGAAAAATACCTTCTATCAAGCAAAAAATACTGAAAATATACAAAAAGCTTGACTCAAGATTAAAGTAAAGACATTTTATAAAAAATTTACTTTTATATGTACTTATAAAAGCCTTAAGACATTTATAAAATAATATATAAATAAAGCAAGTAAAATGAAAATAATGGATTTAAGTTGCCTTTATTAACAATTGTATAAACATTATTTTCCCTCAAGTTTAACCACCTATTCCATCTTCCTGATAAGAGGCTTCTGCCTCTTATTTATTGGCGGAGGCCTATACACCTAAGCTTTTTTGCCACTACATCTCTAAGCTTTTTTAATATGATATGTTGTTTAAACTTCTTCAATATGATACGTTTCAACAACTAAATTGCCCTTTTAAATTGTTTAAAATTGAGAAAGATGATTGGTAAAAGTGCTTTATAATAATTCAAAATCTCAACACTTTAACTAAGGCAATTCAAGCTCACATCACTAAGAAAATATCAAAAAATTAAAAATTAAATTAGGTTTTAGTATTGAAAAAAGAAAAATAAAGAATGACCAGTGCTCTAATGTTGAAACCTAAAATACCAATTCTCTAATTCAAAGGCCCTGTGGTCTCAAAAGATCCAGCTCACTTACCATTACCACCTTCCCATTATCATAGAGGTAGGGGGGAAAAAAACACATGATAAACAACCTGCCCACTCACCTTTTGATTATTCTGCAGTCTAATAGAGTTACCCAACATGATTTCTTATTTGTTCTTCTATCATTGTTTTTGTAACAGTCAACTCTACAACTCAAGTGCTAACTTAAAGAGATTTATCCTAAAGCAATTCAAGCATTTTGCTCTAAGTTACTACAAATTCACAGTGTGTTACATACAAGCACAAATAGAAGCAAGCAAGGAGGTTGGGTATGTGGGACACGTAGAGAGGATAGAATTTTTATATACAGAGTCATTACTCCAATAGCTGCCCTAACACCAGCTTCTCCAACTACTGCTGTTGCTGCATCTGTAACTAAAGCAGTCACTCCAATATTGACCGTCCTAGTGAGAAAAACAGAATCTAAAAATAAATCACACACCAAAGTTAACATAGACACACAGATCTGGATCAGTTAAGTGATGATGGGAAAGACTAGTATGTAGTGCCAATAAGATTGGTGGTCAAAAACCAGGTTACATCACTGTGAAGCGTTTGAAATATACCATCTTCAGAGAGTAAACCCAATATTTAAGTCAACAAATGCCATTGCACAACAACCACAAACTTCATAAAAGTGAGGTTATGAAGTTTAACATCTGCATCATCCTTTCTTAGCTCAACTCTTACGAATAGATTCCTTTTCCAACTCAAGCTCACAGTTAAAGCATATACATATAGAGAATGGAAAAGCTGCAAGAATGGTTCGTTTCTCAAAGTTGTCTGAAAGTCAAATGCCTGGAACTGCAGGTTAAAATTAAGAAACTAATTACGGGTAAACAAGTTCCACACGAATAAAAAAAAAAAAAAAGTTGCATTGGTAAGAGGTATTCAAACTTCAAAGGAAGACAGAATAGCTCCAACACATAACTCTTCATGAGAGGAGTTGCTTGGACAAGCCACATCCATATAAAGATCATTACTAATTTCACAATTATCTTGCTGTAAGAGAAAGACCAAATGCTTCACCATCTCAGCTAACGGTTAATCACCCTGGCCCAAAAACTAAAATATCAAGCATTAATTGCAATGCCAATGATTAGCTAACTTATCTAGCAGATGCAGAGCCATTATTTT